CTGCAGCGGCTTAAGATGCTGAACCTCTCCTCCAATCTGATGGGGGAGTTCCCTGCTGCCATCTTGGCGCTGCCCAGCCTGGAGGAGCTCTACCTGAGCCGCAACCAGCTCACCCTGCTGCCCCCTCGCCTCTCTCAGCTCCGCCAGCTCCGTACCCTCTGGCTGGACAACAACCGCATCCGCTACCTGCCCGACTCCATCGTGCTCCTCCACAGCCTGGAGGAGCTGGTTCTGCAAGGCAACCAGATTGCCATCCTGCCCGAGGGCTTCGGGCAGCTCTCCCGCGTCACCCTGTGGAAGATCAAAGACAACCCTCTCATCCAGCCCCCCTATGAGGTATGCATGAAGGGCATCCCTTACATCGCAGCCTACCAGCAGGAGCTTGCCCACTCGCAGCCTGCCCTCAAACCCCGCCTCAAGCTGGTCCTCATGGGCCTAAAGGATGCAGGAAAGACCCTGCTGAGACGATGTCTCATGGAGGAGGATGGACAGAGGGAAGACATAGGAAGTCTGGAGGCAGGGAGCACCCATCCCAGAGGGTGCCCTGGGCAGCAGCAGGACATTGGGAGAGTGCCAGTTGGGTGTTGCCCCTTCCCAGAGCCTCAGGATGCTTCCTTAGCACAGGTACCTGCCACACAGCAGCTGGAACATCTCCCTGTTGAACGGCAGGACATCCCTTCTCACGTACCCTCTCACAGAGTGACAGGGGAAACACTGTGCCCTGCACCGTCACTGCCACCGGATGCCTCCCAAGTATCATCAGGACTGGGACTGTCAGGAGGCAGCAAGGGCATTGAGGTGATGGACTGGACAGCGGATGCAGAGAGGGGCCTGACATTCATTGTGTACGAGCTGGCGGGGGACCCAAGCTATGATGTGATCCAGTCTTTCTTCCTCTCTCCTGGAGCCCTGTATGTGCTGGTGGTGAATTTGAGTGCCTACGTCCCTCAGCACTTCTACCCCTCTGTGGGCTATTTCTTGCACTGGCTCGGTTCCAAGGTGCCCCATGCTGTGGTGTGCATGGTGGGAACCCACGCTGACCTCTGTGCAGAGCGGGAGTTGGAAGAGAAGTGCCTGGACATCCATCACCAGATTGCTCAGCAGGAGAAGAGGGATGCTGAGGGACTCCAGAGCTTGGTCCAGCAGGTGGATGAGGCTCTGGGACAGGACTTTGACCTGCGCTGCTCCAGCCCGCACGCTGCCTTTTATGGGGTCTCAGACAAGAACTTGCGGCGAAAGAAAGCCCAGTTTCAGTACCTTCTCAACCACCGCCCACAGATCCTCTCTCCAGTGCTGCCTTTCAGCTGCTGGGACCGTTGCCAGGTGCGTCGCCTGCGGGACAAGCTCCTCTCAGTGGCTGAGCACCGGGATATCTTCCCAAACCTGCATCGAGTGTTGCCCAAATCTTGGCAAGTGCTGGAGGAGCTGCACTTCCAGCCGCAGGCTCAGCAGCTGTGGCTTAGCTGGTGGGACTCTGCCCGTTTGGGCTTGCAGGCGGGCCTGACAGAGGATCGGCTCCAGAGTGCCCTGTCCTACCTGCACGAGAGTGGGAAGCTGCTCTACTTTGAGGAGCACCTCACCTTGCGGGAGTACGTGTTCCACAACCTGCCACGGCTCATTGACATCCTCAATGTCTTCTGCCAGCGGGATGCCACCGTGCTGCTCCAGAAACTGCTCAGCGACACCCACATTGACGAACTGAGGGCCACTCAGCTCCACCATTACGTGGAAGGGTTCTTGTTGCATGGCCTCCTCCCTGCCCATGTTATCCGTCTCCTTCTTAAGCCTCACATCCAGAGCCGGGAGGATCTGCAGCTCATCCTGGAGCTGCTGGAGAAGATGGGGCTCTGTTACTGTGTCAACAAACCCAAATGCAAACCCCTAAACGGGGCGGCTGCTTGGTACAAGTTTCCCTGCTACGTGAAAAATGAGGTGCCCCATGCAGAGGCGTGGATCAACGGTGCCAATCTGAGTGGACAGTCCTTCGTGGTTGAGCAGCTGCAGATTGAATATAGTTTTCCATTCATTTTCCCACCCGGCTTGTTTGCACGCTACAGCGTCCAGATTAACAGCCACGTGGTTCAGCGGTCAGATGGCAAATACCAGATCTATGCCTACCGGGGAAAGGTGCCCGTGGTGGTGAGTTACCGGCCTGCCAGGGGAGCTCTGCAGCCAGATACTCTGTCTATCGCTAGTCATGCGTCCCTACCAAATATCTGGACAGCTTGGCAAGCTATTACCCCTTTAGTGGAAGAACTGAATGTCCTGCTCCAGGAATGGCCGGGCCTGTACTACACTGTGCACGTCCTCTGTTCAAAGTGCCTTAAAAGAGGGTCACCCAACCCACACACTTTTCCAGGTAAGGCACAGCCCAGCTTGCCTTTCACCTCTCCTGGGGCTTTGGCCCTTCTAGAAGGGAGTCTTACGGTGTTAATCTTAACTCTGTCTTTTTTTTTTTTCTTTTTTTTTTTTTTCTCCTCTGCTCTAACTCCCTTCCCTGGTGACTTGAGTCATGAGAGAAAATATTAGGGTAGCTCCAAGGAGACAGGCTTAAAATAACCCTGTTCTGAGATGAGGGGGGTGTTACATCCCCCTTTGTCTGTGCCTTTTCTTTCTGCTTTTTGGGTTTTGGCCCTTAGCATTGGCAGTGCCATTGTTGAAAAGGCCCTGACCTGTCCTTCTCCTTGTTGTGATTCCTTTGAATGGCACTGCGGGTTTTTTTTCAGAATTCTCTTTACCTTGTGCCTCCCCCTTCCTTGGGGCTATTTGTAAAGACTGATAGAGGCACCTAAAAGACCGCAGGTGGGCCCGGTGTCCCCCTCCACCCCCAAACCCTGGCCTGTACTGCAGCCTTTCTGAATGCAGGAAAGCTCCTGCTGGTAGACAATGGGTGTGTTGGTCTCCATAGCCCTGTATAACAAATGCTTTCTCGTATCTGAGCCCTGTCTCTAGCAGGAAGCATTCCTCCTTCAAGAGAGAGGAATACTCCATCTTCTTTGTTTAAGTGTCTCACCTAGAAGTGATTCCCAGACTGTGCCTTTTGGAGCTATTCTTGAGAGCAATTAATTTCCTTCTTCTCTCCCCCTTCATCTAATGAAAAAAGTGTAGCATCTCGCCTCTGGAATGTGACTAGTTGTGCTTTTTAAAGCTGTCATTTCTAAAGTCGTGATTTTTGTCGGTGATGTTTTCCAGCAGCATCTGTTTTACTTTGTATGCGTGTAGGTACTGCCTCCTAACCTGCGTCCTCCCTCCTCCACTGGGTTTGTTCTGGGGCTTGCGGGGGCCACGGGAAAGGTGCTTTGGTGTGTAAATCTGCGTGAAATTAAAACACTCTGGACTGTAAGCAGACCGCTAGAAAATGTGCATTTTTTACACACACACCCCTCATACCCACCCATGTTGGAAGTATGTTGGAATATTCTTTATTTACAGGTAGCCTAAAATTGTGTGGGAACTGAACTGTGATTTGAGTCAAAGCAAGCAGTGGTGAGGAATTGGTTTGTAAGCAAATGTGAATAATGTGTGGTTTTGGGATTTGCTTTTTGTTTTGTTTTTCTCTGGACCTTGAAAATAAGGAGATGCTGTTTGCCCCTCAGCCTGTGTCCTGGCTCCGTTGACTGCATCTCCTTCTAAACTGTGCTGCCTTATGTAAGAGCTGTTGGACTGGAGGGGGGTGAACCCATGCTGTGAGAGTTGCTGAGTGGTATATGCAGGCTGGGTCTTGCTGCTTGGGACAATGTCATCTGCTTGCCAAAAAAAATCCCTGAAGACTAAAAAACACAGAACCCCTAAAAAAAAAAAACCACCCCAAACCAACCAAACAAAAAAATCCTCACCAAAATCAGCCAAGAGAGCAAACTGTGTGTGCAGGTGTGATGGGTGGCTATTGAAGGTGTAGCTTGTGAATAATTCAGAACTGCAGTCACGTATCTTCTTTTTTCTCTTTTTTTTTGTGAATGTTTTGTGGATGATCCTTTTTTTCCCTGCTGAGTAGATGATGCTTTAAAAGTGAAATGTGAAGAGGAGCCGGACTGTCTGCAGACGATTGGCATCTTTGCAGACCAGTGACAGTCAGAGCAGGTCTGGAAGCATCAGAGGGGCATTGAAATCAAAGGGGCTTTTCCTTTGGATTTGGCTGTGCCATATACGATTCCTTAGGGGAAGGTTAGGAGCCAGGGTGGGTCTGCTGGGAAGGGGAGGCGCAGGTGAGCAGTGCATCGTTGGGCACGGGAGGAGCAGGGGCTTGCATGCCAGGCCTCCAAATGCCGCCTTGGTGATGCTGCCTGTGGAAAGGGGATTGCAGCATTTCCAAAGCTCTCTAGGGGAGAAATCAGGCCTCGCTGCCAGGGGCACAGGACAGCCCAAGTGGCTATGCCTTGGCGTAGGGGGTGACTCTCTTAACATGAGTACTATGCAAGTCTAGTTGTGGGAAGAACATGTTGAGAAGACAAATGTGTTTCAAAGGCAGGGCTAATCTGTGGAAGTGCTGAAGAGTGATTTAAAGGCTGCAATTAATTGAGAAACCTGCTTTTCTTCTTGCATGATGTTTAAATCTAGCCCAGCTATGACCTGGATTGTATGAAAAATGTGAACCATCATTTGGCTTGGGGAGGCCTGTATGTCTGCATTTAATCTAAAATATTCCTTGCTGTGTATCTGCTCTATGAATAAAAGACTGTTTAGGAGCCCCTAAATGGCAATTGTGAAGCTGAAGACTTCCCCCCCCTCTGCCCCCCACCTGATTTTATTCATCTGGAGGTGTGTGTGTTTAAAGTCATGCTGCCAAGCTTGCTCTTGTACAAGCAAAGTTTGGTTGGCATCACTTTTAACAGGGTGTAGGAAAGAGATGGGTCTAATGTTACAAAAATGTGTAGTGAGAGAGATGACTGTTTCTTTCCAAGCTTTTCCAGCGGAAATCCCTGGCAATTACAATGCTGCTTATTCTTAAATAGGGCTGTGGTCTTTTTAGGACTGCACTGAAGAACTGCTTTGCAGCCTGTTGACCTTAATAAGGGAAATATTTCTGTGGAGACACTGCCAAATTTGTGCTCAAAAATGGAAGTGCAGTCTGGCTGTGTGTCTGGTTGTGCAATCTGCGTCGTCATTCATGAAACTGATGATGCATTCTTTGGTCATCCTAAATTTTCATTGGAATCCCTTTCAAAGAGGGGACTTGTTTGCTTGTGAGTTGAGGATTAGTCCTTGCTTTTCCTCTCCTTCACTTCCCTCTCAGTCTTCCATGTGCACGCTCCATTGATAATACACACAGAAACTGTGTAAGAACAAGCTAGTGTGTATAGAATTGGTTTATAAGAATTGAGATTCTGTATTCAGTCTTCTGATGGTTTATTGCAAACAAACAGTGAATGAAACTGATATAAAAAATGCCTTGATAGGGTCCTTTTAAGGAAGTTTTCATGTTTGAAACAGTTTTGTAGCTGGGTGAAATAGTAATTGAATTGGCATCTGAGCTGGAATCTCAGTGTGCTTTGAGGCTGCAGTCATCCACTGAGCTGATAAGTGGTGTGTTGAATTTTTTTTTCTTTTACATTTGCATTATATATAAATAAAAGTATCCCTGCCAGGCTAAGGAAGGTATATCCCTGCTTGGAGTGACCAACAATAATAGTTCACCACTCCCAAGAAGATGAGACTTCAGTTGTGTTGTTGCAGGCCTTATGAAATGCTGTGATTTTGTATGTGATGTTCTTTTAGCCCCTGGACTGAACGGATTTTGGGTTGTTTGTGTCCCATAAGCTATTAAGTGACTTGGGACGGGGGTGGTGGAGGTGGTTTGCTGTCTGTCTGATAGCAGACACATGTGCTTTGTTTGGACAAATAAGTGTAGATTTTCCAAGCTTGCCTTCATGTGCACCTGCTGACTGCACTGCTGGTGTCTACTCTTGCCATGCACTAGGTTGGGCCTGGGCCACCCTGGACTCTTCCAGGCTGTAGACTGCACAAGGTGTTCTGATTTCCAGTGTGTGATCCTTTTGGTGTCTGGGGTAGGGGGAATTGAGTTTGAGCAGTGGTTTTCCGTTATTCCTGTCTGTGTGAACACAGACATAAGAAAGCCAGGGACTTTGTCCATTGCAGAAAACGGGCAAAATGCTGTCACAAGCAAGACAGGATGATCTGGGTTTTTACAGATTAAAAATGTGACAACAGACAGAAAGCCACGGGCAAAGATACTGTGTGTGAGGGTAGCAGCCCCTCTCCAAAAGGACTCTGCAAAGTTGTTGGGGAGCTTTGAAAGATGCTGGAGGACTGACAAGAGGTGTCCTGTGGAGAGGAAGTGCACATCTCCTGCCTGCTTGCTGCCCACTTCCTAAGGTATTGGAACAGGGAGGAGATGACAAGCCTCTACTTTGCCTGTCTCCCACGTCAAAGGTGAGCAGAAGCAAGGATTGCATGCCAGTCACCTTCAGGGGTACAGATGGAGGTATTATAGCGTAGATCCCCTGTGAGACTCTGTGTCGTGGCCAGAGCAGGGCTAATTCTAGGCCACCTTATTCATGTGATTGGAAATCAACTGTGCTCACCATTACTGCTTTGGAGTCAAAAGCAAGCATGAACTCCCTTGGTGGCTGGGATGGAGTTAGGAGATAGAGAGATGGAAGATTCCACAATGTGTCACGCTGTCAAGTCCCGTGCAAGCTGAGGAGGGAGCAGGTGCGACTTGTTTTGTCAGAAGGGCCCAGAAGTTGCTCCAAAATCTGAGCTGCCTTTCAATGAAAGGCTGATGTCAGGTATCTAATTGTTCTTTCTAATTAAATTGTAAGTGGCTGGGTTTTTTTCACAGACAATTGCAGTAGAGCAACACCTGCTTGTTACAGAGCCTGATGCTAGCATTTGGCAGTCTTTTATTTTCCCTGTTTGAGGGTGGAGTCTTTTTTGCTTGACTTTCAGAGCAGATGCTGCAGTTGTTTTGGGGCTGTTGTCACCTTCTGAAGGCTGTGGCTTCAGCGGAGTACTGTGGTGTAATCGGAGACAGTAGGGCAAGACTTGAGCACAGTGGGAACACCGAACATGGATGGTCTGGGTGGCAGGAGAAAGATGAACAAGGCCCTCTGGTTCAGAAGAGAACAAATCAGTTGCTGAACTTGGGGAAGCTCTAGTATTTATTGTTTAGCTTACCAACAAGAGCTGATTTCTGTGGTGCTGAACCTTGAGTGGTGTGACTTGCTGTACATAATGGTGTAGAAACACGGTCTATTTACCTACAGGGATTTTTAGAGATTTCTTTCATGTTAAGCTGCGTGTTGCATGGTGAGCTTTTGAGGTCCTCTTGCTTGGTGGCTGTGGTAGGGCATCCTGTAATTTAAACAACACGTTCAGGAAAGAGACAACAGATGTTTC